CGTCTGTGTGTTCCTGTGGCAACAGATTCGAGGGCCAACGTGGTTGCATCAATTGGTCAAGTTGATGATATTTACATTAAATGTTATTGCTGCCGACTATCATCTCAATGACAACGAGTATGAAATGAGTAAGAAATGATATTACACAACACCTTTGCAGAACGAAAGAAAAAACTCATAATTCTGTCTATGGTATGTTACAGCAACTCAAAAACCATGTCGTTATATATCTCTTATCTGTTCTTTTCGAAAAGCAGCAGCGTGTCACATACACACACATTCATTTCTTCATTTTTTTACATTCACATACTGCCTAGACTCTTTTTACTTTATTAGCAGGTACCCTAACTTCACCATTATTGAAGAAGAGTAACACTCTGCGCAAGCACAAAAAAAGAACAACAATCTACTGGTAAGTACTGAGATCAGATCTAAGATGTAAGAAAATAATTAAGCTTTAGAGAAAAAGAAAGTTTGTGTTGTAACTACTTTCACACAAATTCTTTGTGTGTCGACGTCACCACTTTCTTTCTACATTTACAAAAAATTTACTCAACGTCAAATAAAACTCCTAATTTACCCTCTCATGCTGTTTTTGTATTCGTCTGCTAATGCTTTATTTTCTAAAAGTTAGTCACCACTTATGTCCTCCTCTTCAGCAGTGGCACAACAACGGATTACGCAGTATGAAGTATGGTCATTCGGCGATATAAGAAAGTTAGAAGCGCAAATAAATGAAAAGATTAAACTCGGGTGGCAACCATTTGGAGGAGTTAGTCAAATGAATTTTGGTTCACACCCTTATTACGCGCAAGCCATGGTACGCTATGAAACGACTTCATCATCAACACCACCGCTACCACCATACAACGCGTAAGAACGCTGTCTGTACTGCTAATGCAACTTACTTTTTTAAAAGAAACGCTACACATCTGAACAGAGAAACATGTGATATTTTCGCGAAAACATTTTGTGCATGTTCTCGAGGGTACTAATAAAACGCCTACAATTGACACCTACTCTACGAAGTGCCAACAAATATGGTTGACTGTTGGCGTTGTGCTAAATTGAAGAAAGCAAGTCGAGTTGCCTGCTTAGATGTATTGTCAAGCAGGCAAGTCGACCTGTCTGATAGAGAGTGCACGAGACGGCGTTACGATTACAGCCAAGGATTTGATCACCTATCGAATTCATGATGCCCGAGCAGTATTTATGAGGGTGCAAAGTATTCACGGAGCAGTGAAACGAGCGGCCGAAACCACACTCACCTCGCTCTTTCTCAATGCGGTCATAGATGACATTGCTCCGCCTGTTCTACAGAAACCAAGCGAGGAGAATCTGATCACCCTCACCCTCAATGAACGATGACGAGAATTTTAATCAGCATATCTGCAAAATGACTATTTTTCAGTCCCGGTCTCGGTCTCGATCCCGGTTCGAATTTTTTTCCAGTCCTGGTTCCGGTTAAAATTCTTTTTTCAGTCCTGGCCCCGGTTCAATTTTTTCAGTCCCGCTCCCGGTCCTGGTTATAACTTAAACTTTCCATTTTAGCATATCAAAACTCAGAATTAGTTTCTCTTCAGATTATACACGTCCTACGTACATGTCAGCTGGCGCAGTACTATTTGAGGGCCAAAGGAATGTCTATGATCTGAAGAAATACCTCATGATCTACAAGACTAGGACTTCTATTTTTAGGTCTACTTCCGGATTTTTTTGCGCAAGATTAAGTCGGGGACTTATGTTTATTTTTTTATTTCCAACGAGTAGAAAATTTTTTCTCAAAAATACATGAGTACAACAACAAACTAAGCGATTCACCAAGGGGGAAAAGGCGGATTCCAGGATGCCGGGATTGTCTGGATTCCCGTCGTA